TTTCAAATAAGTGCTGTTCTTTTGAACTTTCTATTCATCAAAAAATCCAGAAAAATAAAATGTGTCATGGTTTCCACAAAAGTATTGGGCAGCACAACTGTTTTCATTTTCACAATTTTACAGTTTTTACTGCATTTTTTTTATCAAATAAATGCCGCCTTGGTGAGCAGGAAAATTTGTTACTGACCTCAAACTTTATAACAATAATAATAATAATAATAATAATACCAGAACTGGTAAAGAGTTGCTGATTTAATTCAGTTATTTTAATTACACCGTTATAAGGTCAATAGATTGTCAAATTTATGCCATTGTGTGTTGGAAACAGCATTTTAAGGGGGATACAAACATCTGACATGTTAAAGACACATATCATATCTAATAATTTTCAAAACTATTCACTACAGTCTCGAAGCAAATGGAAACAAAATATTAAGATCCCCTAGTGTTGAATTGATATATCGAATGTTCATATTTGTTTGCTCTGAGATTTTATGATTGCAAAATGCATTCCTAAATTTCTCATGAAAAATTGTACGTTTTTTGAGTGGAGAAAACCTCCAGCTTTCCTGAAAATGCGCCCGGGATTCAAACCCAGCCCAACCCTCATGATTATGCCAGTATGCAACTGAAAACAACAGTATTCATGGATAAAATAACCAAATATATTATCATTTTTGTTTGAGTTTAATGAGTTGTTCTGCACATTGGTCAATGGTTTTATTTAATTGTTATTGTCATTAAATGAATAGTTTGCTCAAAAATGAAAATTAGCAGAAAATGCAAGATGAAGACGAGTTTGTTTCGTCATCAGATTTAGAGAAATGTAGCATTGCATCACTTGCTCACCAATGGATCCTCTGCAGTGAATGGGTGCCGTCAGAATGAGAGCCCAAACAGCTGATAAAAACATCACAATAATCCACAGCACTCCAGTCCATCAGTTAATGTCTTGTGAAGACAAAGGCTGCGTGTTTATAAAGTGTTTAAATTTTAAATGATTGCTTCTGGCAGAAATTAGAGTCCATAATTCATAATAAGGCTTCCTCCAATGAAAAAGTCCAAATCTGTTCTCATAAAGAAACTTGGATGGCCTGATGCGGAGTACATTTTCAGCAATTTTTTATTTTGGGTGGACTATTTCTTTCATTAAATTTTTATTGTTGTATTGATTTTATTGTTGATTATTTATCAATAAGCATAAATAAAACAATAAAAATGGTTCTGCGTATCAGTTATCAGACATTTAAAAAAAATATGATTAAATAATCTGGTATGCAATAAAACAGTTGTGGTTGATCCGCGATGTGTACTGTATCGTTTAAGTGTGTGTGTGAGAGAAGTGATAGGCGTGACCTGAGGCGCACAGAAAGCTTCAGCACTGCTATTCTGCTGTCATACTACACACTACAGTCTCCAGCACTGCGTGCGCGGACGGATGACGGTCCTCACAGAAGCAGACAGAATAAGGTCAGACCTCAGCGAGTCTCCAGTTCATTGCCCCCGTGTGAAGCGCACTATGCGTCTCCTCAGCTCTCCTCGTAACAGCTCCAGGCAGTAGATCTTCCCTCGGACTCCTCCAGCAGACGCGACCATGGCTGAAGAGGACAGCGCGATCGGACGAGTTTCAGACTCGAGCACGGACAGCACGAGCTTCGGCGTGTTGAGCTGGGAGCAGGTCCAGCGGCTGGACCTCATCCTGACCGAGAGCATCCCGATCCACGGCCGAGGAAACTTCCCGACGCTGCAGATGAAGCCGCGGCAGATCGTGACGGCGGTGCGGAGCCGCATGCGGGAGCAGCGCATCCATGTGCGGGACGTGCGTCTCAACGGGTCCGCCGCCAGCCACGTCCTGCACGGGGACAGCGGGCTCGGCTATAAGGACCTGGACCTCATATTCTGCGTGGACCTGAAGGGAGAGACGGAGTTTCAGATCGTCAAGAACATAGTGCTGGACTGTCTGCTGGACTTCTTACCTGATGGGGTCAATAAAGAGAAAATCACAGTGCTGACCCTGAAGGTGAGTCTCAGATTCATGAGGGTGGTGGACAAATGGTCTTTAAAGGGTTCAAATGGACATATTTGTAAAAAAGGAAAGTTTTCTTTGCAGATTAAATCATGTTTACAGTTCATTTAAACAGTTCTGCAATAAAGTCTCATAAGAGCTCAGTGCCAAATGTTTCTTTTTACAACCGGCTATTTTGTCTATATAGAATTAAGTTTGTAAAGTAATGAATAAAGAATCACTGCAACACTAAACATAACATATTCGTGTTATATTTATGCAAAGTTGTTTTGCCATCTTAATAGTTCAATTCAATTCAAGTTTATTTGTATAGCAATTTTCACGATACAAATGGTTGCAAAGCAACTTTACAGCAAATTAAGTTTCTACAATATTTAGTGGTTAAATAGTCAATAGTCAAAATTATTTTCGTCTTTTGTGCTGTTTCTAATTGTAAGGTTTAATACACAGATATATGGTTTGTATTTCTGCAAGCAGTACAGTAAACAGTGACTTTACTTTAGCTTCGAGGGGCCGCCATTTATTATTTATCAGTAGACCTTTGAATAACCGGTTCAAACCCAATCTTTAACAGTAATTTATAGGAAAGCGGTGTTTAAAACACTTCAAGTACAGCATGTCACACTGAAGGACACAGCTGTCACTGCTTGACTTAACATGTCGTGTTTTTCAATCAGTACGTTATTTTAGATCATCCCTATAGTCTCCAGTGACATTCAGTAGAAATGCAATTAGAGTAGTTTACGGATAGGCTGGTGAAATGTTGGTTTTCTGTCAGTTAAGAGGATTGCGCTAAAGCAGGTTAAAGCCGATCGAGCGTCCTCAGCCGCTTAGATCTCCTGCGACAGGTAATGATGGAGAACTGATATGGCAAACAGACATGCGTTTGAAAGCATTTTTATTTTAATGAAATGCTGAAACGATTCCTTGTGTTATTTTGCAGGAAGCATATGTGCAAAAGATGGTGAAAGTGTGCAATGATTCGGACCGCTGGAGTCTCATCTCTCTCTCCAACAACCGGGGAAAAAACGTGGAGCTCAAGTTCGTGGACTCCTTGCGCCGGCAGTTCGAGTTTAGCGTCGATTCTTTCCAGATTAAGCTCGACTCTCTGCTGCTTTTCTACGAGTGCTCGGAGAACCCCATGGCCAAAACGTTTCACCCCACCATCATCGGCGAGAGCGTGTATGGAGACTTCGCCACGGCGCTGGACCACTTGCGCAACAAGGTGATCTGCACGAGGAACCCCGAGGAGATCCGAGGCGGCGGCCTCCTGAAATACTGCCATCTTCTAGTCAGGGGTTTCCGAGCCGCCTCCGAGTCGGAGATGAAGTCTCTCCAGCGCTACATGTGCTCCCGCTTCTTCATCGACTTCTCGGACATCAGCGAACAACAGCGCAAGCTGGAGTCTTACCTCCAGAACCACTTTGTGGGCTTGGAGGACCGCAAGTATGATTATCTAACAATGCTGCATGGGGTAGTGAACGAGAGCACGGTGTGTCTGATGGGACACGAGCGGCGGCAGATCTTAGGGCTGATCGCCATGCTAGCAGTGCGTGTGTTGGCCGAGCAGAACATCATACCCAACGTGGCCAACGTCACTTGCTATTACCAGCCCGCCCCTTATGTAGCAGACGGTAACTTTAGCAATTATTACATTGCCCAAGTCCAGCCAGTCTTTACCTGCCATCAGCAAACCTACTCCACATGGCTGCCGTGCAACTGAACGCCAAACAGATGAGCTGAATCATTGCATTGTTGAATCTGTTTCGCAATTGACCCTGAGTGTTACCATCCACTTCCCCAGTGTGCATCGATGCTTGAGTGAAATGAATGGGGTTTGTCTGTTTTCTCAAATGAGTTTGGAAGGCAACTTCTGCTCTACCTTGCCTAATTCTCGGCTGATCATGAGGTTTTACACTTATTATCCGTTCTCAAGTGTGTTTCTGACCGGTTGACACATTGAATCCCGGTCGTTAGATGCATGAGAAGGGAAGTGTGAGGTTTTGGAAAGCTGCAGTTGCACCCTTTAGTCCAAATGGAAACCAGTGTATCGCTAAGAACCTTTTACGAAGGAAAAGTCAAAAACTACAACCATTACAGTTTGTTCAAACCAAAGATGTTAAGATTGTATTTTTATACCTAGACTATCAGCAGATGTGATAGTGCTGTCTATATTTGTACATGTGTGCATTCGAAGTGCCTAACGTCAATGCAGTATTCTGAGGTGAGCAAAGCAACCTCAAAATCACGAAACACGACAAAGGGACTAAAAGCTTGTGAATGTGCATGATGTGTCCTGATTTACAACCAATGTAAGTGTCATTTTTGTTTGTAGTTCAGTCTCCGTCTATTAATTGAACTCTTAAATGATTGTTTCTGAGCAGCGTCCACAACTTTGAGAAGCCATCTTTTAGTTTAGTCGAAATTTGCGCCGGCTTTCCAGCAGACCGTATTATCCAGGTGAGAGTTGAACGGCATACGGCCCGAAAACAAAGAAAAGACTTGTTTTGTGGGTGAGAATGAAGTTTGTTTCCGGACTCTCTAGATGAAAGGTATTTGCAGAAACCTCTGATGGTGGGACGCTATTTGCTGTAACATTCAAGCAGGGAATTCGACAGCTCCTGCTGAAGTAAAAGCCGCTGTGTTCCTGTGCTCCGTCACAGCTGCTCCGCCGGCTGAACCTGACCCCGCGTTCACCCGCTGGTAACAGAGTGTTAACCTGTTCTTGATTAATAGCGCTGCGGAAGGAAGCAGGCGGGGCCGTGGCATATATGTTTAGACTTGACAAAGAGTCTTGAGAGGAGAGAGAAGAGGAAAGTGAGAGTGTGAGGGAGAAACGAGACGCAGACGAGAGCGAGGGAGGGAGGGCTGGAGAGATGGGTGCAGCTGGTGAAGGGGTTTATCTACTTCGGCAAATCTCTTTTAATCAATACAGCTTATTTCATTACTATGGGCAATTTGGCTGAACAGACACAAGGTTTTTATAGGACTGAGAAGCACAGATCAGTTTGCTTTACTGGAATGCAAACTTTGCAGTAGAGTTTCCAGTATTCCTCATATCACAGCACGCAACTGAAGTGCACTCAGTTGTAGACAGTTTGGCATTATGAAGATTAAATAAGCAGAAATAAGCTTGCATTTCCAATGCATGACATGGAATTTGAATTATGCGTGAATGAGATTTTAAAGGGGTCATATCATACTTTGTCGTCAACTCATAATGTTTTAGTGTCCAATTTAACTTTTCACCACCATTTTTAGTCTCTTTCTGATCTTTAGATTTAAAGGACCTCTAAAGGCTTTGGGTTTGCTGTCAGGTCCAATATAAATGTAACTTTTTTAATGACATACTTTTTGTGAGTTTCTGATCACGCGGTGGTCATCATTCATGTGTAAATAATGTTTCTTCTGTCTGCTTTCAGAAAGTCGTGGATGTTTAGTTTAAATAAATGTTCTTTTTGGACTGGGAAGCAAGTTTTGATTTCTACAAGTTTAAGTATGTTTATGTAGTAGAGGGATTCCCAAACGTATTTGTCAGCCAAACCCCTTTAACCTAAAATATTTACTTGAAGTACATTTCTGAGATTTTAAGTGAATATTTTAATAATTGCAACAATAATAACAAATATTTGCGTGTTCACGGTTCTCTGATGTCAGTTAAGTGTTGCATGAAATGCAGGTAAACAAACAAATCTTTTTTTAAGGGCTTTAATTAATTTTTATTTGAACAAAATCCCACACACTGCTATAGTTGTGAATCATATTTTAATACAGCGTTTCAGTCATGTGACTTCGATCAGGCATTGTTTTTCAAAAATGAAGCTTGCGTGACTGAAAAGTTGTATTAAAATATTATTCACAAGCTATAGCACTGTGTAAGATTCATATTTGCTTTACTGTATTCCTATGCTCCTTATTTTATTACTTACTAGGAGTTTTTAATTTATTTCGATTCACAACCCCCAGTTTGGAAATCCTGAAATAGTACATCAAAATGTTGTATCTAAAAAAATAAAGCAAAGGGTGATTCCTCATAATATGACCCCTTTAAAAACTTCAGTGGATGCATTGCTAATTAATGCATTACTATGCATTACTTCTATAAGACATGGTTGTTGAAGTGATTGACATCCAGCAGAATTTGCATTAACATTTGTTTTCAACCAACGTGATCTGCAGTGTTTGTGAAGCCTGATTCTGTACTGATCATGATGTTCACACGTCTCCTCTCTTTTAGTAGTTGACATGTCTGTGGTTCTCACTCACACTCTAGCTTGTCTTAACGTTTTGACGGTTTCCTGTGGATTTTGCTGGCAGCGGGATGTTTGACTTGCTCTGTGAAGTCTGAGCTCCTATCTTGGCATTTTTCGGATGATGCCAAACATTTAATGTTCAAATATCTTATAAAAACATCTTTTTAGGACAAACACACATTATGCTTGTTTTTCTTATTGTATCAGTGAATTTAATTGTCATTCTGCTTTGTTCAAGCTGCTAAATGGCGTTTTTAACTGCTTCTTTTGTGCATAAATTTGTTCAATTGATCAACGATTTGACATGTTGTCCTCAATAAAAAAAAATAAGAAAAAGAAAGAAATGTACAGAATGCAGAATGTCCTTTTTTTCTGAACACCTCTCTGCTTTTGGACCCAGTTTCCAGCATATAAAATTAGAGAGTTCGATCAAAGAGCAAAGAGAGCGTAATCTGCTGGATAAATGTGTGGGATTTGCATGGACCAAAAAATAAATAAAAATAGCCACTTTTGTCCAATAAGTTGTGCTAAAACTGCCTTTAAAAAGATACTGTATTATGTCATTTTATTATTTTTTTTTTAAATATGATTTCTGCACCACTTGATCATCTAATAAAAAAATAAAAAATAAAAATAAAAAAAGAGATATATAAGAAAGCAATTTAACATAAAAAAAATCACATTTATTATATAGATAGTGTACATGTAATCTGAATTCAAATTTTGTGACCAGACAGATGTCCTGAATAACTGGTGTACTATTTGGTTTAACTATATGGAATAACTAATACTTAAATAATCAAATAAAATAAAAAATAAGAGAGATTATTACATGCACCAATAGGGTTTGACTTGATTTTATGTTAAACTCCACCACCAGATGTCTTCCAATGATGTTAAGAAGATGTTGCATAATATATTACCACTGGATGCTGTTTAGCATTTAAACATCACTAGCAGAATTAAACTTAGGGACTTAAGACCCGTCATGATGAAAGCCAGCCAAAAAAAAAAAAAAAAAACTGCAGTTCTCAAAGTTTTCTTATGACTGAATTACACATTTTGAATATTAAGTTACAGGTCAACTGAAAAGGTCGTTTGGGGTGAACTGCGTCAGAACGGTCACAGTGTGTGATTTCCACTGGTTTTACAGGAGGTCAGGCCTCGACAGCAGCCACACTCAGTGTGCAATAAACATATATGTGTCTGAGATGACATTTGTGTAAAGCCACAGTCTGCTGGACATGGATATGACATCAGCAGTCACCCGGGGCAACCAGACCTTTAGAAGGGTCAACCTTTAGTGCCCGCTAAAAATAGAGATGCTATTGCGGAGTATTTCTGCTTGATTGATGTGCACTGAACAATCATTTTGTCAAATGTGACGTCACAGCTCTTGTACAGGTTATGTACAGGTCAGCGGACTTTGGACTCAGTGTTGACGTGTGCTAATGGAAACACTAGCTCTGTTCCTTGCCTACATAGGCAGCTACCTTCTAAGCATCCTCCTATCCAAGAGGATTTTGTTTTCCATTTAGGTTTTTGCAAAGCATTCAAGATTCTTTATTGCCACTATACAGAGTATAGCGAAATTAGAGAAGCCTTACGGTGCAGTCACATATAACTTAGTGCAAGCTAAACAACCAGTTTAAGAAATTGAAATAAATATAGTCTAAGATTACCTAAAACGATACAAACAAAACATGTATGGTCAAGAGAGTTGTGCAAAATGAGCCAGTTACTGCATAGTGATGGATAAAATACAAGAGCCATATGGAATATTGAGTACTGTATACATATTGCACAGTTGTGTCATATAAGAGAAGAGTAGTAAACGTTGCATTGTTTTGCATACTAATGGCACCTAGTAGTGAGCAGTCGAGTGTTGCACAGATCTTTCACAGCAGATCATAAAGATCGTGTTATTGCACAACAGACAGTAATGTACTGCATACGGTGTTGCACACCATGGGAGAGTAGTAAAGTGCAACGGAATGTAAACCCATGGAGTAATATAGACTGTAAACATATACGGGGGAATAGATATATATTGAGGTATGCAGAGAATGTAAACCTGTATGGGTCGAGGTATAAATGCCAGACCAGATTGGTGCATTCTTTCAGTTTGTGTCTGTGTGTCTGCCTGGCAGTGTTCAGCTCCCGTATGGCGCTGGGTTAGAAACTGTTCTTGAGTCTATTGGTCCACGATGTGACGGACCTGAATTGTTTACCAGAGGGCGATGTGAACTATTACCCGGTTCTCGACTGTTAGGTTAGGTATAGAGAGTACCGAGTATTGTTAGAATCGTCACGAGCTTCGCCTCCGTCGCCTAATGCGTTTTCCAACCGTGGACTGGAGAGCCGCCGGCTATTCCATGGGACGTTTCCATGAGGCATTTTTTCCAGATGGAGAGGTTTATTGAACTGGAGAGAAACTGAAGGAAAGTGACTCTGTTTCCCAGAGTAAAGCCCCCGTCCCAGTGTTGGTGCCGAGGAATTACCTCCACATCCATTAACTCACCGCCCGCTGCCGACACCACAGAAAATTCACCATCACCATATATTGTAAAATATAGCATCATTACTCCAGTCTTCAGTGTCACGTCATCCTGCAGAAATCATTCTAATATGCTGATTTGCTGCATAAGAAACATTTCTGATAATTATCAATGTCGAATAAAGGGTCACACTTTATTTTAAGGCCCAGTTCTCACTATTAACTACGACTTTTGCCTCAATAAACTCCTAATTAATAGTTAGTAAGGTAGTTGTTAAGTTTAGGTATGGGGTAGGATTAAGGATGTAGAATATGGTCATGCAGAAAAAGGTATTAATATGTGCTTTATAAGTACTAATAAAAAGCCAATATGCTAAAAATATATGCATGCTAATAAGCAACTAGTTAATAGTGAGAATTGGTCCCTAAACTAAAGAGTTACTGAAAAAAGTTCTGTTGCTTCATATTCATGATACATTTTTTTCCAGGATTCTTTGATGAATAGAAAGAATTAATAGGAATGTTTAATTGAAATAGAAAGTTATTTGAAGTCTTTACTCTCACTTTTGGTGAATGTAATGAATCCTTGCTGAATAAGGTTTACCAGATTGCAACCAATAATATTTAGAGAAAAACTATAATTTCCATGATATACTTTTTTGTTTGGAAATGACCGTGTCTAGGCAAGGCAGGTTTATTTATATTGCACATTTTATTCACAATGGTCATTCAAAGCACTCTACATAAGTGCTTACATTTTTTTTTAATCCATCCATTCTCCAAATTATTTGTCCTCTGTAGGGTTTTAAAATCATTTAAGAATATAAAAATAAATTAGAAAAAAATTAAGCCAACTTTAAACATGTGCTGTGAAAAATAAGAAAGTAAAAAAAGTAGAATTACATGGACATAAACTTTAAATAAAATAACTGACGTAAGCACCACATCCAACTGTTTATTTAATCAGCTTTACTAGTGGATGGTGCTTAATACCAGTGTAAACAGGGTCTACACCGTTTTGTGTTTGGATCACTCAAACCACATACAGAGGTCGTCAAAATATCATTACAGTTGTCATTCAGGACTGATGTTAATGCCAGGTGAAACAGGGCCTGTAATTGCTAGATGACCCAACTAGGTAAGTAGATTCGGGTCCCATTTGCATAGGTATGACAAACAATGTTGGTGTTTTCCATCATTTGGCCTAGTAGGATCGAACATGAAAGGTCCAAGGATTGAACCTTGGGGGACTGCAGTTTCAACAGTTTCAGTTCCAACAAAAATCATCTGTTCCCATCACATACAACATGAAACACTCATGTGGGAGTAACATGGCTATATTGTAAAAACATTGATGTGCCTCATGTGGAAAATAAATGCTATGAATATAAGAAATGAAGGTAAGATGAGCTTTTGAGAGTGGTGTGGTGCTGCGAGAAGACAAAGAATGTGTCTCAGACCTGCCATGAGTGTTTTCTCATTGTTGTGCGTGTAGCTGTTGTTCAGCGTTACAAACAGACTGGGTAGAGTATAGGAAGAGAGAGAGAGAAGGTGATCCCTTTGTGGGATTACAGTCATTAGAGTTAGCAGGTTTGCATTTAGTCACTAGGTGCTACAGAGATAATCACTCATACATTCAGGGCGATAGAAAGTAGGGTAAACCCACAAACAGATGAGACATGGAGCTAATGAAAATCAACAGAACTGATGAAATCTCTCAAAAAATCATCTGTTCCCATCACATACAACATGAAACACTCATGTGGGAGTAACATGGCTATATTGTAAAAACATTGATGTGCCTCATGTGGAAAATAAATGCTATGAATATAAGAAATGAAGGTAAGATGAG